CAAACAATTCCTTACTTTTTTAAAGTGGCCCACAGTTATCGGGATCAGCCATATTTATCGATGCTACCAATAAAATTACTGTTCGCAACTTGACCTCTTACTACATGTCTCTTAGTGAATTGCTGCATGCAATAAAAAGTTCATATTATGTTAGAGATTAGGAGAACATTTCAATATTATTTGTTTGGCCTTTGTAAGATATACATATACACATATTTGTGTGCGTAGTGCATGCATAGTCCGCCAAAAAATTAGTTCTACTATGTATCTTTACTAGAGGAAGGTGAAAAGTGAATATGCTTTTAGCAAAAGTTTCTTAATGCTTTTGAGATAGTTCGGTTTTTACTCGTTTTGACCACTATTTATTTTTAATTTTATCATCTAGCATCATCCTCTCCAACGAGCAGGCGGATGAGCACCGGGTTCTCTGATTCCCCAACTTTTCGTTGCACCCTCTCGCCCGTTTATCCTTCTATGATTAAAGTCCATGAAAAGAACATACAACCCTGTGTAGGAGGCAGAGAATGGGAGGAGAAAGTGGCTTCCATTGAACCAGAATCACGCAATCTACTGAAACATGGAAACGACTCAGTCTCACCACTTATGCTTAACTGTCCCATGGAGAAAGATTTTCATAAGATTGATATCGAACATAACAATAGTCATTACAGCACCTTTAATGCAACAGGCATGTACGGAGTTCTGGATATTCATTCAAGCAATTTCAAGCAAGGATTGAGCTCCAAAGGTGACATATTGTACACTGCACCAGGTCAAATAAATAGCGCAAAGGAAAAAAAGTGTGATAACTTCGTTTCAACGACAAGACGAAAATATGACTTGACTTCTACAGTGTGGAAAAAGGAGCATGAATTAGTCTCAGAGCCAGCATTGAGTTTCCAGGAAGAAGAAGCAGAGAACAGTAAAGGAGAAAGGACAAAGGATAGAAATATGAGCTACGATACAAATTTTACAAAAGATACTACACGCACAGCGTATTCTACAAGGCCAAAAGGGGTTCCATTAATTGGAGAGAATATGAAAGAAGGAGTGAAGAGAGGTAATTCCAACTTTTGATTAATTTTTTTAATATTAATATTTGCCTAGCACCGGTTTCATCCGCTTATCAAATTCTGTTAGGGCAGCCAACACTGCGCACAGCTTCACCCTAAGCACTAAATTCAGGCAAAATGTGCAGTTATACGTTCTTGGTTCTTTGTT